GTCCCCCTCTCTCTCCGACCCTCCCCCGTTCATGCTCTGTCTCTTTCTGTCTCAAAAATAAACATTAAAAAAAAAATTTTTTTTAAATCCCTGGGGGAGGGAGCTGGGGTAAAAAGAGCCATGCTTCTATCACGGCTCTGTATGAACTTGACTGAGCTCTCCCCTCGCCCTTACTGTGTCCCCTGGGAGACGCCCTCCCTCGTAGGCAAGGTCTGTGGGAGGGGGCTCCGGGAAGGTCCCTGCTGCTTCAGGCAGGGGTGAGGCTGTGGTTGTGCAGCCGCCTGGATCCTGATCCTAGCCCGGGAATGGGGGTGGGAGACAGACAGGAAGCAGAGGCCACCCAGGTCCCTCCACGCCCAGGAGGGGGAATCTTCAGGGTGAGAACAGGGGCAGCCAGCGCCTGGGCCTGTAACGGATCCTTGATCTAGATGTTCCGCGGCGGTCATGTGCGTCCTTGGAATGGCCTGTGGTCAACCTGAGTCATCCATTCATCTCTTAGGGAAGGGCCAAGGCTGTGAATGGATGTGACGGCCGGGATCCTGCAAAAGAACAGATACAATTTTAAAATATGTTTGCACTGGGTTTTAACGTGCAACAGTTAAGACCAAACGCTTTGCTGTCAGCCAGATGCGAGTTTGAATCCAGACTCTACCACTTACGAATTGGGGAACCTTGGACAAGCCCTGTCCCCCTGAGCCTCCGATGCTTCATCTGGGAAAGGGAACCTGAGGGTTAGTATGAGGGCGAATTTAGTCAGCACGAGTCACATTTCACAGGCTCTCAGTAAGTGTTAAAGGGCAGTAACGATTATTACAATGACTCCCAGTTGTTGATCGGCTAACCGGATTATCTCCACATTCCCTTGGAACGTTGTGGAGCGATGGGTACTTCCTCAGCACCTGGGGCGGAAGGAGTTCTGGGGCTTTTCTCTGAGGCGAGGGAGAGCCACGGAGACCCTCAACAGGCCAGCAGAGCCTTCTGGAGAACTCCCTCTTGGCTTTCCCGTTTCAGTGCCAGCGGAAGGCCCTTCTTGCTGTACGTGGCCCTGGCTCATATGCATGTACCCTTATCCGGGACACGGCTCTCCGCAGACCGACGGGGCCGGAGGCCATATGGAGCAGCTCTCCGGGAGATGGACCGCCTGGTGGGCCAGATCAAGGACAAAGTCGACCGCACGGCAAGAGAAAACACATTCCTCTGGTTTACAGGTGAAGTAGTAACGACACAGCCAGCTCGCTGAGATCTACTCGATAACCCTACCTGCACCCCCCTCAAGGGCAGAGTCTGGGCTAAGTGATCCTTTCTCACAGGGCAGGGGGCTTGCTTTGAACTCGGCCTCCTGCTAGTGTTTGTCGGCCCGAGTGCGGAGCACCTGTCCACTGGGGCCTCCAAGGCTGAGCCCCTGGAAAAGTTTGTGCCGAGAGCAGGTGCCCTGCCGGCCTCTTCTGTATTGATTGAGGGCCCTCTGGGTGGCGCTCTCAACTTTTAACGAGTGACTTTGGCGTTGCTGGTGTGTGCAGTCCTCCGGCAGCTCAGGCGCATCGGGTCCCAGGTGCCAGTCTGGAATGGGGGCAGCGGTTGAAAACACTGCTTTCAGGTCAGGCAGAGACCCGGTTTGAATCTGGAAAAGGCACCTCAACATCTCTAAGCGTGTTTTCTAAGTGAGCCTCCAATGGCATCTACTGCAAAGCGTGTTGGACGATCGTGAGATAGTGTAGGTGAGGCGCTGGGTGCGTCAGAGGCACCCAATAACATAGCTGTGGGTCTGAGGACCATCGTAAAACTTTATGAAAAGGCAAAAGCATCTGAGCCAAGAACCTCACCCTGGGGCTTAGCTTGGGGCAGGGAAAGCCCACCTCTCTGAAGGCCTCACATAACTGGACGGTTCTTTGAGGGCAGGGATCATAATTGTTTTTACGGGTCCTTCTGCCCAGTCCCCTATGCTGCACAGGGATATGGACGAGGGAGGGAGAATTGGCAAAAGAGTCCAGAAGCCCGTTGATCTCTACGTGTTGCTTCTTTTGGTTTCCAGGAGACAACGGCCCGTGGGCTCAGAAGTGTGAGCTGGCCGGGAGCGTGGGTCCCTTCACTGGATCGTGGCAGACTCATCAAGGTAGGGGCTCTGCTGGGCTTGGTGCGTCCCACCTTGGGTGCCGGGCCAAGGCCGAGCTGTGTGGTTCTGTCTCTGGGAGGACCAGCTCACGTGCAGGCCTTCTGGCCATCGTTAGAATGTTCTGGCCGCAGACAGGTTGCTCGCCAGCCACCAGTTCCCAGGGAAGAAATAAACTGGGAAATAAGAGCGTTTTTGTTCAGCCTCGACCACCCCTTTCTCTCCTCCCCACCCCCACCCCTCACCCCTGGACTCCCTCAGGAGACCTGCCCTCAGTCCACGGACCTTCCAGCAAGTACACTTCATCTTGACTTTCATCCCATTGCCCTTGCAAACTTTGGCCTTCTCCTTCCTTCCTTTCTTTTCTTTCCTGTTTATCTTTTTTTTTTCAGTCATCCCTTCCTCCCTCCACCCATGAATTCATTTCATTCATTCAGGAAACATTCAGGGCACAAATACGTTCTCGCTAAACCTTACATTGTTGAAAGGGAGGGAGTAACACCTCTATTTACAGATGAAGAAGGAGAGGGGCTCAGGGAGGCCGAATAACTTGCCCAAGGTCACAGCTTGCGAGGGTGGAGCCAGCACCCAAGTTGAAGTTGGTGGTCTCCCCACCGCAGAAATCTGCCTCCCTCAGCCCCCAGCTCGGTGCCCATGTGCTCTGGGAAAGTCTCCCCCTCCGCCCCGGGGACCTCACTTCCTAAGACAGCTGCAGTGCCGGGGACAATTCGGCAGCGAGGAGCCCAGGCTTGGAAAATATGCCTGTCGACCCACCAGTTCCTCCTTTCTTTTATTACAAGTTAACTGCTTATTTTGGGATGGGAGAGAGCTGCAGAGCATGAACGGGAGGGCAGAGAGAGGGATGAGATTGGGAATACTTGGGAGCCTGAGTCAGCTCAGGCCCCACGCTGGGTCAAATGCGGATAAGGCGAGAGACGTGACCTGGTCGACGCTTAACCCATCATACATGCCACCCAGGCTGCTCCTTTTTTTTTTTTTTTAAAGAGTTGGGCTTGGGGCGCCTGGTGGCTTAGCCGGTTGAGTCCTACTGCCAGGTCACGACCATTCATGTCCTGCGGGATCGAGCCCCGCTGCCGGCTCTGGGCTGATGGGCTCGGAGCCTGAGCCTGTTTCTCCTGTGTCTCCCTCCTCTCTGCCCCTCCTGCTCATGCTCTGTCTCTCTCTCTGTCCCAAAAAAAAAAAAAAAAAAAAAAGTTGGCTTTACCTGTTCTCAGCAAGAGGGTGTAAGGAAGATAGCCATGAAGGAAATACTAGGAACTACTGATAATTATGTTTTGTTGACAAACATTTACTCTATAATACTTCTTCGAGTGAAAAGGTTCGATGGTATGCCGTATGATTTTTATTAGGTCAAAATAAGCATACCGATGCTCAAAAATCTTTTTAAAAAATGTTTATTTATTTATTTTGAGAGAGAGAGAGAGAGAGTGTGTGTGTGTGTGTGTGTGTGTGTGTGTGTGTGTGAGCAGGGGAGGGGCAGAGAGAGAGGAAGAGAGAGAACCCCAAGCAGGCTCTGTACTGTCAGCGCAGAGCCCAATGCGGGGCTTGAACTCATGAACTGGGAGATTATGACCTCAGCTGAAGTCAAGAGTCAGACGCTTAACCAACTGAGCCACCCAGGCTCCCCAGTTCTCAGAACAACCTTGAGGTACCAAAAGCAACAAAAGATTAGGAGTAATTATCTCTAGGTAGGGGAGAGAGGGTTTAAGTGTGTGTGTGTGTGTGTCCTAAAAGATTAAAATAAGTTTTAAGACAAGTGCTTGCATCCGAGGGGGTCGGGGGTGGGCTTGGGGAGATTGCCCCCTGGGCGAGAGTTCCCTGCTGTCCAGCTCCTGAGCTACGGCCTCCGGTGTCTCCAGGTCAGAGGACACAAACTGCCTTTCTTATTAGTCCGGCAGAATATTTGTAGTTACCTAGAAACTAGAACATTCGTGCATCTCGTGGCCAGTGGCGAGAAGGGAGTGCTGATCTTTCATTTTTGTTTGTCACCTTTAACCTGGTATCTGTCCGATCAGATCCCTTCGAGAACTTCACCAGCGACTAGCTGCCGGGACGGCAGCCGGGTCTCGTGCCCTGAGGATTGGAGCTGTGGTACGAGGAGACCTGGGTGCCATCTCCCCGTAGCCTGTCAGTGGCTGGTCTGCTTCATCTCTCAGGATGTTGTTTCTCTGCCTGCGTAGTGATGTCTTTGGCTGGTCCGGTTCAGGAAAGCTGTCTGGAGAAACGGTCAGAGAAAGGTACCAGGACTGGAGGAGGATGTAAATGTGCTTGGTGCTTGGTAACAATAGCCCTAGAGAGAAGCCGTGGAAGCTGGGAGTGATTGCTGCGTCAGCTGATTGTGTCTCCTCCTCTCCGTACCTGGGAGACCCTCAGACCAGATGGCCAGCTTCAACGCTCACCTGGAAAGCGTGGAAGAGCCTAGAATCCAGACTCTCCAGGGCCCAAGTCCAGAAGGCATGGAGACCTCGGGTGGGGTGGATAAGCTGTGTCACTAAGTGGCCCCTGCACAGATAGCTCTCTGTTCCCTAAGAAGATGGCCTCCGAGCTCTTATCTGAAGACCTGCCTTCTCTTGTCTCTCTCGCCTTTACGAGACCGTTTGGAAAGAGTGAATTAGGGTTAGCTGTGGGGAAGGGGGCCCTGCTCTTTGAGGGGAGTACTTTGCCCTGTGAGAAACACAGTTACCAGCTGGGCAAGTTCCACTTTTCCTTTCTGTCCTTGCTCCTACGGGCATTTGTTGAGCACCTATTACGAGCCAGGAAGTGTGCTCAGTGCTGGAGACGCAAAGATTCAACAAAGCCCCTGGCTTTAAGGGGTGACAGTCTAGAACAGTGTTTCTAAGATTTTAATGCGCGGAGTCCCCTGGGGGTCCCGCAGGTCCGACGCAGTAAGTCTGGGATGGCCGCGGAGAGGTTGCGTTTCTAACAGGCTCCTGGGCGATGCTGATGAGGCTGGTCCAGAGATCACACTCCGAGAACCACTGAGCTAGAATGTCCACGTGGAGACTGTAGGAGTCTAGAACTTCCAGGTTAGATCAGTGGAACTTAACAGCGCAAATTCTAGGACCTCACCACCCCTCAGACTACTGACCCAGAAACTCTGGGGGTAGATCCTGGCGATCCGCGTTTTCCCAGCAGTCCGTGCTTTACCATGTCCTGCGGGCGATTTTTCTTTGACGCAGGTTAAAATTTGAGCCCCACCTATTGGGGGCTCCCCTGTCTCGTACACCAGACACACGAGCCACACTTCAAGGGCTCAGAAGCCACATGTGGCTGGTGGCCACCATATCGGGCGGTGTGAAAAGAGACCATCACCGCAGGCAGTTCCAGGAGACAGTGCCGGGAGTCTGCACTTACGCAGGAGATTATAATTCTGGGTGAGAACTCCGTGATCAAGGGGAGTGCAAGGACGTCGCACCCACACAGGAGGGTGGCTTCCCTCCGTCCTTCCCTCCTTCCACGAAGGCTTCCACGAGTGGTTTCGGTTTTGAAGAATGAGTAAGCCACAGCTAGGGATTTGTAGGCTAGGGAGCTCGGAGCAGCCCGGGTAGGGGCGGGAGGACCACAGAGTAGGAGCCTGTGTGTGTGTCTGGGGCTTGGGGAAGCAGATGAAGTCGGGGGCGGCAAGGCCGAAGGGAGAGCCTGGGCCAGCGGTCAAGGGTCTTTTGTTTGAGGAGAACAATTTTGGCCTTCATTCTAAAGACATGTGGAATTGTGGGAAGTTTTCACGAGTGAAGGCGCCATTACTCGACGTTTTCAACTGAAGTGAGGGGCGCCTGGGTGGCTCAGTCAGTGGGGCATCCGACTCTGGCTTTCAGCTCAGGCCATGACCTCTGGGCTCATGGGATCGAGGCCCATGTCTGGCTCTGTGTGCTGACGGTGTGGGGCCTGCTTGGGATGCCCTCTCTCTTCTCCTCTTTCTGTCCCTTCAGCTCTCTCTCTCTCTCTCTCTTTCAAAATAAATACATAAACTTAAATAAATTGAAGTGAGATTCTGTAACATAAAATTAACCATTTTGATGTGTTTCTGATGTGTACAGTTCGGTGGCAGTGAGCAAATTCGCGGCGATATGCCGTCATCACCTCTGCGGGGACCCCAGACACTTTCCTCCCCCCAGAGAAAGCCCCAGAGAAAACCCCATACGCTTGTAATGCTTGCCCCCCCCCCCGCCATCTCCTACCCTTCCCAGTACTTCGTTCAATTTTAAAAGACCCCCTCTTATGTCAGTGGGGCTGAGGGCAGAGAAGGGGGACAAGACTACACTAATTTCTGCCGAGCCCCAGGTGATAAGTGAGAAAAAGCAAGTGACAGAATCCCCAGGAATATTCCGGCATTCAAAGAATGCCAGGGTAGGAGCACATCTCAGCAATCTTCATTCCAACCACCCCGTTGGCCAAAGGAGGAAACTGAGGCGGAGCAGGGCGGAGGGCTTTCCGAGGCTGGCCATTGGTCAAGGGGGCCATGTCATTTGACCTCCACCAGCTCATTACTCAACCCGCATGATGGTTGTTACTCACGCTGTGTTATACCCGGCTAACTGCTCAGCCGTCTGGAAAATCCTAGGCTGCTTCTTTGGACCCCATGGTTGTCAAGGGAAATGTCTTCAGCCTCTGTAACAGTGTGAATCTTTCTAAATCTGCAGGAGGCAGAGTGGAGAGGTGGAGAGAGCTAATGGCTTTGGGAGCCCCGATGGGGCGCGAGTCTCCACGCAACTTACGAATCGGTGCCCACCGGGCCGCTCCCCTGGACAACCCAGTTTCCTTCCCTGTAAGGGGGGACTGTAGACCCAGCTCGCTAGATGGCTGGCAGGGTCAGCTGGGGTACTGCCCACGAGGCACCCAGCCTCATGAATGTCTCCTCCTAACCCCCATGATTCTTTAGTTCTTTGTTCCCAGCTGAAACAGACCTGGGGCGGGGGGTCCCCCACAAAGAGAACAGGAAGGGGATGGGAAAATGGCCCTGAACAAGGTTTCCCCACCAAACA